GGAGGCAGAGGCAGGGGGCTGGCATGCGCCTAGGAATTCAAGACCAGCCTGGACAACATAGCAAGACTCTGTCTCTACACACACACAAAATTAGCCAGGTGTGGTGGTGCGCACCTGTGGTCCTAGCTGCTCAGGACACTGAGGTGGAAGGATCACTCGAGCCTGAGAGGCAGAGGCTTCAGTAAGCCACAGTTGTGCCACTGCACTCCAGTGTGGGTGACAGAGCGAGACCCTGTCTTAAAAAAAGATAAAAACTGTCAAATGTAGTGCATGTTTGTTTTGGGGACTAAATGCTTATTTTTAAGACGATGGTTAAAGTACTCAGCAATATTTAGTAAGTTAAAGCCTTAGGTTTTAAACCTGATTTGGGGTTGAGCTCTGGGAAGGAAAGGATGATTGATTCATAGGCACCCTGATACAGTCACTTAATGATCTGAAAAACAGATGTACTATAAGGCACTCATAAAAATAACACCAGTCCTATGCTTATCTCTTAAAAGTCATGTTGTTTTCTGCAAGGTGTTAAAAATGAAAATAAGATTGTTCTAATAACATTGAAGTTTCATGAGTATGTGTGTATGACACAAGTGAAATTGATGGGTAACTACTTGCAGTATAATTCTTTTAGAATTATGTACTTTTAGATTGACTTACCAGAACTGCTGAAATAAAAAACACTCCATTTTAATTTGAAATAGTGGGAACATTGGCTCTGCTGCAGTGATTTTTAAGTGTATACATGCCCGACTGTGAATGGATTAAGTTCATCATTGGTGCTACATTGAGGTCATTCAGAGACTTTCTTTTGCCATTGCAGGTAGAGCGGGAAAAGGCCATTCTTTTGGCCAACCTACAGGAGTCACAGACACAGCTGGAACACACCAAGGGGGCACTGACGGAGCAGCATGAGCGCGTGCACCGGCTCACAGAGCACGTCAATGCCATGAGGGGCCTGCAAAGCAGCAAGGAGCTCAAGGCCGAGCTGGACGGGGAGAAGGGCCGGGACTCAGGGGAGGAGGCCCATGACTACGAGGTGGACATCAATGGCTTAGAGATCCTTGAATGCAAATATAGGGTGGCAGTAACTGAGGTGATTGATCTGAAAGCTGAAATTAAGGCCTTAAAGGAGAAATATAATAAATCTGTAGAAAACTACACTGATGAGAAGGCCAAATATGAGAGTAAAATCCAGATGTATGATGAGCAGGTGACAAGCCTTGAGAAGACCACCAAGGAGAGTGGTGAGAAGATGGCCCACATGGAGAAGGAGTTGCAAAAGATGACCAGCATAGCCAACGAAAATCACAATACTCTTAATACGGCCCAGGATGAGTTAGTGACATTCAGTGAGGAGTTAGCTCAGCTTTACCACCATGTGTGTCTATGTAATAATGAAACTCCCAACAGGGTCATGCTGGATTACTATAGGCAGAGCAGAGTCACCCGCAGTGGCAGTCTGAAAGGGCCTGATGATCCCAGAGGACTTTTGTCCCCACGATTAGCCAGGCGGGGTGTGTCATCCCCGGTAGAAACAAGGACCTCATCTGAACCAGTTGCAAAAGAAAGCACAGAGGCCAGCAAAGAACCAAGTCCAACTAAGACCCCCACAGTCTCTCCTGTTATTACTGCCCCACCGTCATCTCCAGTATTGGATACAAGTGACATCCGCAAAGAGCCAATGAATATCTACAACCTTAATGCCATAATCCGGGACCAAATCAAGCATCTGCAGAAAGCTGTGGACCGGTCCTTGCAACTGTCTCGTCAAAGAGCAGCAGCTCGGGAGCTAGCCCCCATGATTGATAAAGACAAGGAAGCCTTAATGGAAGAGATCCTCAAGCTAAAGTCCCTGCTGAGCACCAAACGGGAGCAGATTGCCACATTGAGGGCGGTATTGAAAGCCAATAAGCAGGTAATCTCATTCTACTGGTGAAAGCATGCTAGTTAAAGCTTTCTTAACTAATTTATTCCCTAATTTATTGAGTATCCAGTATCATCAAGATGAGAGTTCAGATTCTTGGTCAGTGGAGAAATAAAACCATGTCCCAGTGTCAGATCAGAATGTCATAATAATTATTATTTTTAAATGAGTGAATGGATGAAATATCTGTGCCCAGCTAGGTGGAGGCAGAGGTGAGGAAGTTAAAAACACAGGAGAAGATCTAGATGCCTTTCCGCAGATGTAGAAAGACAGCTCAGGCGGTGCTGGGCTGAAGCCTGGCAGTGAGTAGCTGTGGAAACAGGAGATGGAGGGTGGCAGAATAGGCTGGCAAGACAGGTTACACCAACCAGGGAGATACAGCAAGAAAGACAGACACCCAGCAGACAGCTGGAGCAAACAGGGGGAAATCTGGGTGCAGATCATGAAGAAGGTCTGATGGCCAATAACTGGACCCTGGCTTTGGAGCTGGAGGTTCAGATTCAAGACTCAATTTCTAGGGGTATAGCAAGAATTTTTTGTTTTTGTTTTTGTTTTTTGTTTGTTTGTTTTGAGTCAGAGTCTCACTCTGTTGCCCACGCTGGAGTGCAGTGGCGCCATCTCAGCTCACTGTAACCTCCGCCTCCTGGGTTCAAGCGATTCTCATGCCTCAGCCTCCCAAGCAGCTGGGATTACAGGCGTGTGCCACCATGCCTGGCTAATTTTTTGTATTTTCAAATAGACAGGATTTCGCCATATTGTCTAGGCTGGTCTTGAACTGCTGACCTCAAGTGATCCGCCTCCCTCGACCTCCCAAAGTGCTGGGATTACAGACATGAGCCACCACACCCAGCCAAGTATCGCAAGATTAAAAGGAGTGTTTTGTCCTTCATCCCAAACCTAGAGAAACAAGAGTGCTAAATAAATGAACAAGTCAGGGATGAAAGGCAAGACAACTGTGAGGAACTGAGTTACAGAAACAAAGCCAGACAGATTGTTATCAACAAATTAAATAGTTTGGGGCCACTTTAGCAAGCAAATGAGAGAGAGTGTGTGTGTGAGAGAGTATGAGAATGAGCTCTACCTGTGCTAGTGACCACATATCTGAAATTTAGGTTCATATGGGATGTTAACTCACATGGGTCAGAGCTTAAGTAATAGGGAACTTTTCCTAGCTATTGATCCTGTCCTTCTGGACAAGTAGTAATGTTACAACATGAACCTGTCTAATTCCCAGCCCTCTTTAATGACTGAAATTGTTTTGCACCCTTGAGTTTTACCTGGGTGGGAGTGCTGTAAAATATAGGCAGGAAAATTCTTTTCACCTTTATTTAGTTTATCTGAAAAGATAGCCTCAAAAGACACATATTTGAGAAAGGTGCTGAATAAGTGTTGGTGTTGATAAAGAGAAGCAACAAAGCACCAAATGCCCTCTTGCAAACGCAAGCAGTGCCAGTGAATAGTAGGTCAGGGGAGCTCTTGGTCTTTAGAGATTGAAGGTTAATTTCAGATTCAGAATGCCTTCTCCGTTTGCCATTATCTGGGGAAAACCACGCCCTTATTATGTCATCTACAGTGCAGCTTTCGAGTCCTCATCTCTAGTTCCCATAAATCTATTTATATAGTTGACATCTATACCATAAGCTATAATACTGTTTGCACTATTAACATGTTTTATATAAACCTAAGGGCAAAATACGACTTTATTTTGTGTTGTTACTTTAGAAAAATAGAAAAAATTAGAGTGAATGAAGAGTTTGTGAGAGATCTGACTCCAATTTTGGGTCAGAATAAAGGAATTTATTATTATAACTCTGCTATAATTTAAAGACTCAATGATTCAGAGTGGTCATAAATAACCAATACCATATTAGATAAGGCTTACATAAACTTTATCAAGGACATGCTATCCTAGGGCATTCTTGGTCAAGCCATCCAAATAACTTCTCTGACTTCTTCCTAAAGGTTGAATATTAACAATTTAGGGCCGCGTGCAGTGGCTCACGCCTGTAATCCCAGCACTTGGGGAGGCCAAGGCGGGCGGATCACTTGAGGTCAGGAATTTGAGACCAGCCTGACCAACATGGAGAAACCCCGTCTCTACTAAAAATACAAAATTAGCCAGGCGTGGTGGTGCGTGCCTGTAATCCCAGCTACTCGGGGGGCTGAGGCAGGAGAATCGCTTGAACCTGGGAGGCGGAAGTTGCAGTGAGCTGAGATTGAGCGATTGCACTCCAGCCTGGGCAACAAGAGTGAAAATCTGTCTTCAAAAAAAAAAAAAAAATCAAGATGCTTAACTGAAACAGAGGTATAGATAAGGACACTTGGCCCACCAACAGAGACTAATCTGTGAACCAGCATTCATTGATTACATATTTTCTGGGAGGCAGTAATAAAATAACATATTTTCAGGGATGCAAAAATAAATGACATACTCTAGTAGGAATTCCACAATTGCGTATAGCTATTTATAAGATAGGACTCATCAAGCACTTTAGAGTGATGTAAACAGTACCACGGGAATTCAGAACAGAGCAAAGCATTCCTAGCTGAAGTTTTATTTTCACAGTTTTTTGTGGTACAGGTTGAGTATCCCTTTTCCAAAATGTTCGGGATGAAAAATGTTTCAGATTTTGGATTTTGGACATTTGCATATATATATAATGAGATAACTTGGGGATGGGATCCAAGTCCAAACATGAAATTTCATGAGACAGGAAACAAGAAATTTCATGTATTCATATATACATAGCCTGATGGTAATTTTATACAATGTTTTTAATAATTTTGTGGCTGAAACAAAATTTTGACTGTGACTCATTACATGAGGTCAAGTGTAGAATTTTATGGCATCATGTCAGCACTCAAAAGGTTTCAGATTTTGAAGCATTTTGGGTTTTGGATTAAGGATGCTCAACCTGTACCATTTGCATTACATTAGAGTTACAGTCTATATGGACTCAGTAAATTAAATGAAAACCCGTTTCTAGTGATGCATTTGGTCTACATGTTCATTATGTTGGGCCTGCTGCTGTGATGCTTATGTGCCATAAATAACTTTAAGTATTAACAGATGACATTCACTATATTTAGACATTGTGGAATGTTCATTTTTAAGGCTAAGGTGAGAATTCTAGGGTAAAAAGGAAATCTCCCTGTTTTAAAATAGGCATTCTACTATACAGCCATAAGAAAGAATGAGATCATGTCATTTGCAGGGACATAGTTGGAGCTGGAGACCATTATCCTTAGCAAGCTAACACAGGGACAGAAAACCAGATACCGCATATTCTCACTTACAAGTGGGAGCTACATGATGAGAGCAAATAGCCACATAGAGGGGAACAACACGCACTGGTTCCTATTGGAGGCTGAAGGATGAAAGGAAGGAGAGGATCAGGAAAAATAAAGAATGGATACTAGGCTTAATACCTGGGTGAAGAAATAATAGGTACAACAAACCCCCATGACACACATTTACCTATGTAACAAACCTGCACATCCTGCACCTGTACCCCGAACTTAAAATAGAAGTTAAAAATAAATAAATAAAATAGGCATTCTGTAGTCTCTATGAATCTTCTCATTTACTTAAGGATTTTTTCATAGGCACAGTGCCTTCTGATGAAGTCAGTAAATGCTTATGAAGCACCATCCATCTAGCACTGTGCTACATGCTGAAGATTCAAAGACTAACACATGGTCCCTGCCTTCCAGAAGACTCAGCCTCCTGGGGATGTCAGGATAGAAACACAATTACAGTTCAGCATTACACGTGCTGTAATCCAAGTTATGAGAACAATGCAGAGGAAGCAACTAAGGTTTCCTAGAGGAGCGGAAAAGACTTCACAGAAGCAATTATACTTTAGTTTGTTCTTAAAGGGTAAGGAGTTGTTTTCCAGAGGAGGAGGAAGTAATTCCAGACAGAACAGTAGGTAGAGAGGCTTAGGAGTGACAAAATAGAATGATATATTCAGGGAATGCTCACAAAGGTCTACGTGGCTGGAAATAAGACTTTTTTATTTAGAAAGTCAACTTTGGAGTGTGTGGAGAATGTGGTGAATGCGGAGAATGTGGTGAATGCAGACATCAGCAAATCCAGTGAGTTATGGATATTTAAAATTACTTAATTCTGGAAAAACTTTGCACAGTCTATGGACAAACAAATCTACAAACAAAACTGAGGCTTTAGGGTATTTGTCACAAACAATAAATGAGTTTGTATTTCTATTTCAGGTCTAGCTCTTCTGTTATCCCCCTCTTTATTCCCCTTAGATACTGACCATGGGACTCTGTGCTTACAAATTTGTTACATCTACATTTTCACAACTTAAACATACTTTTCTGTTTTAAATGAATATGTGTCCAAGCTTTTTAAACACTAAACAACTGCCATTTTTCCCTTGGTCAATTTCTGCATTGTGGATAATTTTCTGAATGTGTAATATTTCTGAAGATTCCTCCAAGTATTAACACTACAGAACATACAGAAGTATTTTATGAGTAAAGTCTCATTTTAATCTGAATTTAAATCCAATCAAAACTCATAAGAAACTACTTCGAAACCAAAACAATAACAAAGTACCCCATCCCAACATTGATTTAATTAAGAAAGAATTTATTTCTATAGATGTTGTCACTTTGCATATGAAGGTTTCAAGCTGCCCATTTCAAGCCCCAAAAGAAATGTTAAAAACCAGGGTAGTCTTCCTGGGAAATCCCGTTAGTAATGGATTTCTCTACTCGTAATGGGGTTTTTCATTAGTATGGGGTATTTGTATACATTCTGAAAAGTTATAGTTTCCAGTTCATAAAAATAATGTGTTCCCAGTTTGGCTTCAACATTCAAACTATGTGCTATGCATCAAACGGGCAATCCCTAAGTATACACTGATTTTATGCATTGATTCAGTCAGTGTGTTTTTTTACTTATGTGTGTGCCAGGGTAGCTCTTGATTTGAAATACTATTAATTCCAAGAACTTCAGACATGCCCAAATCCTAGATTCAAACAAATGTTTTAACTCATTCAACATTTCGTAACCCCTACTTTTATGGAGATTTTTAAGGAATTATATTTGACTCTTTCATTGTTTGGACAAATTGTATGCAAATTAGAAAGTAATTAGTTCTCTATCACTTCTTTTCCTTAAACATATAACATGGATTTATAGTTTATCATATACTCATATTATAAGTTACAATGGTGTATGTCTTTTATTCTATGTTTTGGCCCCACAGAGCACAGGTGACAAAATTTGAGTTCTAACATATTCCAATTTGATTATTCCAATAGAAGCTCTGCTTCTTTACGAAATAATTAGTAAAATTTTTCTTGTATAAAGTTTCATTTTGGCTCCCTCCTTGTCCTGAAATCCCATACTTTCAACAATCTGCATTAAATATTTATTAAACTACTGACATTCTCTTAGCTCCTGATACTGACTCTGGCTCACAGAGGGCTTATAGGGCAATTTGACTACATTATGAATTCACAACATATTTTGACATTAAAGAAAAACTTTCCTCTGTTCGAAGCGCATACCTATGTTTATATAAAATGTAACCAAATCAATTTCACTTTCCTTTTATAAAAGAACATAATAGGCCCAGCATGAAGCAATCTGTATGATGGATTTTCCTGATATGAAAATTGTAAGCAGTGTGATTTTCTGCTTTAGACAGCTGAGGTGGCACTAGCTAATCTCAAGAACAAATATGAAAATGAAAAAGCAATGGTGACTGAAACCATGACAAAGCTTAGAAATGAACTGAAGGCTTTGAAAGAAGATGCTGCAACCTTCTCCTCCCTGAGAGCAATGTTTGCAACAAGGTAACAGTATTTTCTTCCTACGACTGGGTGTGGTAGGTGGGGAAAAGGCTTTAAAATTCACAGCCCTGCCTTTGTGCATGTTGAGTGTATTCAGTGTGTAGTCTAGGATGGCTAAGTGTGAAGAAAATCTGTGGAAGTCCACTCTGATGTATCTAAAATTTTGCAAGCCTTCTGTGCTGTTTTCCAGAGCCCCCTACTGAACACTCTGGATCCAGAAATTCTATTACATAAAAATATTTTTGGCCGGGCGCGGTGGCTCAAGCCTGTAATCCCAGCACTTTGGGAGGCCGAGGCGGGTGGATCACGAGGTCAGGAGATCGAGACCATCCTGGCTAACACAGTGAAACCCCGTCTCTACTAAAAATACAAAAAACTAGCCGGGCGAGGTGGCGGGCGCCTGTAGTCCCAGCTACTCGGAGGCTGAGGCAGGAGAATGGCGTGAACCTGGGAGGCGGAGCTTGCAGTGAGCCGAGATCGCGCCACTGCACTCCAGCCCGGGTGACACAGCGCCAGACTCCGTCTCAAAAAAAAAAAAAATATTTTTTAAGTGAGTTAATATTAATAGATTGTTTCTAGAATTTATGCACCCCAAAGAGACTCGCCTTCCAAATAAAAAGCTTTCAATAAGGGGAAAAACCCCACTTCCTAGAATAGCTAAATATTATCACCTCTGAAATAGAGTTCTGTGAAGGAAGTACATGAAAGTATATAAGAGCACCTTACCTTTAGTACTGTGTGAGAAGATACTGTCATAATGAAGGTTAACAGTCATCATACCAGCTAATTACTTAGATTTTTTTTTTTTTTTTTTGAGACAGAGTCTCACACTGTCGCCCAGGCTGGAGGGCAGTGGCGCGATCTCAGCTCACTGCAAGCTCCACCTCCCGGGTTCTAGAGAGTCTCCTGCTTCACCCTCCCGGGTAGCTGGGACTACAGGCACCCACCACCACGCCCGGCTAATTTTTTGTATTTTTACTAGAGACAGGGTCTCGATCTCCTGACCTCGTGATCCTCAGCCTCCCAAAGTGCTGGGATCAAAGGCATGAGCCACCGCACCCAGCTTTTTTTTTCTTTTTGAGACAGAGTCTTGCACTGTTGCCCAGGCTGGAGTGCAGTGGCGCGATCTCGGCTCACTGCAAGCTCTGCCTCCCGGGTTCACACCGTTCTCCTGCCTCAGCCTCCCGAGTAGCTGGGACTACAGGCACCCGCCACCACACCTGGCTAATTCTTTGTACTTTTAGTAGAGACGGGGTTTCACCGTGTCAGCCAGGATGGTCTGGATCTCCTGACCTCATGATCCACCCGCCTTGGCCTCCCAAAGTGCTCGGATCATGGGCGTGAGCCACCGCACCCGGCCATATTTTGTTTTTAAATGTGAAGTGATTGTTAAGAATGTATTTGATTTGAAGTTTTCAGAATCTTGAGATTTTCAGTATACTGTAGAAATACATATTTTGCTGTCACAATGCAGTGTAAAAAAAAATTACTTTTTTTTTTGAGATAGGGTCTCTGTCACCCAGGCTGAAGTGCAGTGGCGCCATCTCGGTTCACTGCAGCCTGGACATCCTGGGCTCAAGCAATCCTCTCACCTCACCTCAGCCTCCCAAGTAGCTGGGACTGCAGGCTTGCACCACCACTCCCGCTAATTTTTGTGGATTTTGTGGAGGCAGGGTCTTGCCATGTTGCCCAGGCTGGTCTCAAATTCCTGGGCTCAAGAGATCTGCCCACCTTGGCCTCCAAAAGTCCTGAGTTAGGGTATGAGCCACCATGCCCGACCAAATCCCACCAATTATATATCTTGTATGATGCAAACTTAGTGCAAAATTCACAAATAATTACTATGTCTTTACTGGCAGAATTCGTAAATAATTTACACGTAGCTGATACATGTAAAAGTGTTAAAAACAAACAAAAAAAGATCTCTTGAGCTTTATAGGAGTCCCCCAGAAACTGTCCAGCTTTTTTTGTATGTTAGGAGAGTACAGGCTTAAGCTCAGACCTTGTGATTGAATCTCTTGGAGATGATAGTGAGAAGGCTGAGTGCCTGAAAGCCCACAGGGGTGCAGAGGAACTGGAGGGAACTGGCTTCTGGGTCTCAGGGCATGACAGTGTTTGGGGAATAGAATGTGTTTACCTGGCTGCTATGGTAGACAGGATAGAGAATAGGAATAGGGCACAATGTCCCCCTCTTTGATGAAAGAATCAGGATTACATTTGGAATCACGAAAACATAAATTTCCTCTTTGAGAAGGAAACTTTTAAAAATGTCAAAGGACATTTCAAGTCTGAATCTGATTTATGTAAGAATTATTATCCCCTAGCCAGGCACGGTGGCTCACACCTATAATCCCAGCACTTTGGGAGGCCAAGGCGGGTGGATCACCTGAAGTCAGGAGTTCGAGACCAG